GGGGGGGGGGGTCGGCTCGAATGTCGTCTTCTCCTCCGAGACACAGCCCGCGTCCGTCAGAGGAAAGAAAGCGCCGAGGGAGAGAAGTAAGGCGGCAGGGAAAAAGGAAGGGAGTGAAGGAGGGAGAGAACTGTGGCGTGAAGGGGACATTCCTAATGACAACCCACCACATTTCTGAAGGACACGAGAGCCACAACACAGCACTTCAAAGGCAGCAGTCAATTCATTTTCTTATGTATCAAAAACGGCGTGTCTTGTGCTATGCAATCACAAGCCCATCTATGGGCATTTGACAAACAGTGCTCATGCCACAAGCAGCGACGATAATTGTTATGCCCATGCAGGCAGTGGACACATTGATGGGCATCAGCAAGCCAGACCAACGCATGCCCAGATACACAGCAGTGACAGGAGAGATACCTAAATAAGGCCACCATTGTCCTTAATAGCTGTCCTCAAAGGGACAGTTATTCAAAAGCAGAAAAGACATTTTGACAAGGCGTTTGATGGCCTTGCAGGCTTTTTTGCTAATATAGAAGAGCAGAAAACTGTGCGAGGGAGGAAGGATGATCTTATAAACGAGTCTGTCCTCTAATGGAATAAAGGAGAGCTCCCTCTCGCTCTCTCCGTCTGCTTCTCTCCTTCCAGTAACTCCAAGTCTGTGGTGAGTTAGGGCTGGAGAGCAGGAGAGCTGAGGCTAATACTGGATCTCCTGGTTCCTTTGAAATAGGATCAGCAGAGAGGAGAAATCACACTGACAACCCCTTAGCTGCCATTTCATGGCAGGGGCTGAAAGAGGGGACTTTGGGGGAGAGAAGACAGAAAGCGGAGAGTGAGAGGGAGCAGGGGGATCAGGGGCAGAAAAGTAGGAGAACGATAACCAGAAAAAAAAGAGGCAGAACTATACTGTAAGAACTATAGAGGCAGAGCACAGAAGAGAGACGTAGAAGGGGTGGGGGCTTAAACAACTCCTTCAAAGCCATTTCAGCACATTGCAACACAAAGCAGGGGGAAGCTATTACGGTGTCTAACGGACATAGTGTACTGCTATCAGGCAGAGAATATGATCCAGGGCTCATGCAAAAAGAACAAGACCAACTGACGCAAGGGCAGAGGGGAAATTATGGCACCGTAGACAGCAGATATGTTCGCCTGTAGCTGCCGACTCCATATTCACACCAGCGTCCCACACAGCAGTGTTGACCACACAAAGCCACACACACACAAGCAAATATGGTGAGGCTGAGGATTCATGCACACTTTGCTCATGCAGATTGCCTCTATTGTTAGGGACACAACCCCCAAACACAGTCTCACACACACTCCCTCCCTTTGTCATCGCACACACACACACACACACACACACACACACACACACGCACACGCACACGCACACAATAACCATACCTCCCCCTTCCGCCTTTATCCTATCAGCCCAAACACAGCCACTGACACAAACAAACAAAACAACACACGCCAACACAACCATGACCTTGACCCAGCGATGGCAGGTTAATGATGCGCTAAGAAAGAAAAAACTGTCATCTGTCTGTTTTTCCCTCCATCACTCAATCAAACCATCTACCTGCTCACTCAAACGTTCCAGCCGTACATCCAAAAGTTAGCAGACTTGGCTTGACCCCTTTTTTTTTTTTTTTTTTTTTTTTATTTTTTTTTCTCACCCCTGATAGTGGGCACAGGCCGTCCTGGTGTGACCACGCAGCTCTCACTTATATTGGTCATTTAGCTAATGGAGGAACGAGCTAACAGGATTAGCCTGCAGGCCTTCCAAAAGGAGGAGGAGGAGGAGGAGGAGGAGGAGGAGGAAGGTGCAGAGACGGAGAGACACAAGCGGACGCAGCGTGTCACTGCCATTTCCCAAAGTTATCTGTCGCCTGGGCTCAGGAGCACTCACACACACCTGAAAAGTGATTATGCTAATAGCAGGTCTTTGCCAATATTCATAAGTGTTTATAGGTGTTGGAGTGAGTGCCTTGGGAAGACGGAGGGTTGTCAATACAGTACCTCTTAAAAGTGCCTCAGCCGTAACTGGCGTTAATGTGATTACTACTCTGTTTATGTCATTAGGGTATTCACAGTCAGGGATTGGACAGGGGTGAAGGGTGAGGCAGGAGAGGAGAGGCTGAGGAGGAAGATGGGGAAGTAGCGGAGGCTCCCATTAGAGCTCCTCTTCAGTTCCTGATTTCATCCTCTTGTACATGACTTTCAGCTGACTTAGCTGGCAAAGGCCTTGGTGGAAAAACTTTGGAACAAACAAATGAACTGTAATTATTCATCACCTTTCATATTTGGATGTTGGGTGGGGTGTCTCACACAGAGATGCTGTGGATCTATCTCCGGATCCATTTGCATATGTGAGAATACCTGATAGAGCAGCTGGCTGGCATTGACCTTCCTCCTTACTTCTCTATCTCCCTCTGTTTGTCTGTGTTTCAGTGCCACAGCCACACACACACACACACACACACACACCCGGGCT